GACGCAAGTAGTAGTAGTTTAGGCACTTAAACACCTGGGAAGGAGGTGAGCAGGATACGGATTCGGGCGAGAGCAAAACTTAAAAAATTACTTCCTTCAATTGTTATAATTAATAACTAATTTAGCTCTCTACACCACTGTAGCCTGCTTCCCCCGCCCCTTAATTAACTATTATTTATTATTAACTGAAGTGAAGGTTTAAAAATTACTTGTACTAATTAGAAACTACTTTTAGCTCTCTACACAACCGTATCCTCCCCACCCCCCCTCCACCAAAAAAAATAGTATTCCAAAACTATTGTTGCAGTCTGCTTACTTCAACGAGCTTTAGTCCACAATGTTTGAAATAGCTATCCATAACCCACAACGAGTAATTTGTAGCTAACCAGTGGTAATTATATTACGAAATTTAAAAATAACAGTAATTGAAAATCAATTTTTAAATTAAAAATGATTTCAAGTTTTATAGGAATCCTCAAGTTCAGACCATTTCTGCTATACACTTAAATTCAAATTGAGAAAAACTTTCGAAAAATGTTCCTGTTTTTTCTAATTTATAATTAATTGATAATAAATTTCAAGCGCTCTCCCAAAAATGAGTTGTCGCAATCCGAACGTTGATGATTGTATAGTACTCACACGCAAAAATTTATAGAAATTTTGAGTTCTTTAAATGAAAGCTCCAATGATTCTGGTTTTTGGTCAGGAGATAACGATATACCGAAAATCGAAGAAAAAGTTCACCACCCATGAAACTACCTTTGCAATGCAGGTTTCGGATTTTTTAAGGGTAAAAAATTTGAAATATCAAAAATACATGGATTAAATCATCTGGGATTATTTGTGTTTTAATAGAGAAGAAAGTCAAAAAAAGATTAAAAAAGCTATCACGCGAGTCAAAGAACCTGTCTAGATAAAAATATCAACATTACACTCCCAAGTATTTTCCAGTAGAGTGGTCCAAAATCAAGATTGTCACAGACAAGAAAAATAAATCACTCAGCACGCCTGTGAAAAATGTTGAGCTGTCTTCGGCTAAAAAATTGTGGATTAAATCAACTATTCTTTTAAATCAATTATTCATTGGTTCTGAAAACCAATGAATAATTGATTTAAAACTTCAATCCATAATGTTTTTACATGATTTACCAATAAATTCATTACAGTAGCAATTAGTTATTAACTAGAAATGCATTCAAAAACTGTAAATTGTTTTCGTTCAAATTTTCTTAAAAGTATATCAAAAAAGTTAACACGGCATTCAGTGAGATTGAACGCGAAAAAAAAATCGACATTAAAAACATGCAATTATTTGTTCAAAATAACTATTGCAGTTTTTTATTTAAAAAAGCACTTATGTTTCAAAAATGCTAAAACTGATTATTAATTCCAAGGATTTGAAGAAATTTTATCATTGAGAGCGCGACATTTGCAATAGAAAAAAATAATACAATTTTAATCTATTCATATGTTTTGAATTAGTTATCAACAAGCCGAAAACCACGATTGGCACCCTCATATAATTTTTTAAATTGAAGCACTCTCGTATTTTTCAAGTGGATTAGAGATAGTTCTGTTAGAGCCTTTCATAGCAGTTTTTATTATCATCCTGATCATTATAATCAAAGTAAGTTTTACTATTCAAGCAAACAATCTCCGTTTCAATCCATTTCACTTTAGTGGAATTAAGAGCAGGGCAATATCCAGCCAGAATGGGCAATTCATAAATTTCATGATCAATATGCATTGGAAAGTAATCAGACGATTTATTTCACAAAAACGTAATAACAGGATAATGAATTAGATATTTATGATTGAAAAACAAAGCAAATTCAGTTATAGAAGGGGAGCCCCACTTTCTTGGAAAAATTCTATATACACCTTTAATCTTGCATCTCTTTTATCGCTCTTTTGCATTTGGAATTCAAAATATTTTTCTTTTGTAAAAAATCTATATATCCATGTATTTCTTAAAATTAAAGAACAAATGTGCACCCAATCTATCATTTTCAAGAGTGAAATTAATTTCTGGACTAGAATATATATTGCCTGAATCTGAATTCGGGGAAAATCTGATAAATATATAGTGATAATCAAATATTAAAAAACATCATCAAAAATCTCCATTTTAAAACATGGCGAGGAAAGAAAAAGCTACATTCTAGACAAAAGAATTAATTAATAAAAAAATAAGACTAAATAAAAAATATATATAATCAACAAATATTTAAAATTGCGCATAATTTAAACCGAAAATTCGCTGTTAATTAAAATCTAGATCTAAATCTTTTTCATAAAAATCATCGAGTAAATGAATTAGACTGACAAACATTTGTGAGGAATCAAATTTTAGGTTCCATGTGGGTTTTATCATCTCAGACTGAGAGCAAAATTTTATTAGATAATTTAATTGGACTTGGGTTTGGATATTTGAAAAGTAATTTCATCTCTTTCGTTTTTCTAGCGATTATTTATGTTAAACACTTACAATTTGTACCACAGAAAACTAAAAGACATCTCAGTTTTACTTGGGTTTGGTTATCTGGAAAGTAATTTCTTGATCTGTCTCACTTTTTCAGAGGTTATTCAAATAAAAACACTTGGATTTTGTGCCACAGAAAATGAAACCAAATTAAGCTGTCTCATTTTTCCAGTAACTATTCATATAAAACTTTCAGAAGTTAAACCAATTTTAAATTCATGATCTGTCCCACTTTTTCCGGTGGTTTTTAAATAAAACACTTATAATTTGTACCACAGAAAAATAAAAGACATTTCAATTTGACTTTGGTTTGGTTATCTGAAAAGTATTTTCATGATCTGTCTCACTTTTTCAGAGGTTTTTTTTAAAAAAGCACTAAAAATTTGTGCCACAGAAAATTAAACAAATTAAAAACATGAGCTGTCTCATTTTTCCAGTAATTATTCATAAAAAACACTTAGAAGTTGTACCAAAGAAAATAAAACCAAATTTAAATTCATGATCTGTCTCATTTTTTCCAGTGGTTACTTATATCAAACATTTAGAAGTTGGACCATAGAAAACTAAAACCATCGTAAGCTTTACGATGTCTCTCTTTTCCTCAGACTGTCAAAACTATCCACTTGCGCAGGGACAAAAAAAAAGAAAAATTTAATTTGATTGGGCAACCGTTTGACAACCTTGGGGTCGTGGGGAGTGTAGCAGGATACGGTTGAGAAAGAGCTGAAATTAATTATTAAAATTAAAAAAAAAGTATTTTTTTTAAACTTCGGTCATGCTCGATTGAGATATAAGTTGATTTATTATGATCCAGAACACGGCGATGAGAAAAAAAATTCAACCAACACAAATTCCAAATCAGACATGCGCAACAACTAAATGGAAAAAAAATCAATTTATTTCAATTATAAACAATTTTCTAAGTATTTGGTGAAATTTGTAGGCAAAAAAATCAATGAGCCCGGACGTATTCAAGATGTAATCATCCATTTCAAATTGATTTGGCATGGTGTTTTCTGATAAAAATGAAAAAAATTGACATAAACGGTCATCAGATGGACTTCTTGTTTATACTGATTTCACCACCAAGCTTAGGTAATATTGGCTTATGTAGTGATTTTTTTTCTTTCCATGCATTAAAACTTATTCTGAGATTTGATAGGACAGATCGAGAAGAAAAGAAACTCTCCGAAAATTTGAAAAAGGAAATGAACTTTTTTCAGCGCCATATCTTCTTTTTTTGAGGTTGAACCCCTAATCAGAGAATTGGGAGAGTATTTTTCTGGACAGATAAAAGTTTCTTTTTAAAAAAGAGAAACCTTTTACGCAAAGAAAAAGTCTACCAACTGTTATATTGATTTAACTCTCCTCAGATTAAAGGTGATTTGAAAGAAAATTTTCCTACAATAGTCTGAAATTGAACATTATATAACGCCATAACTTTTTCTTTTAAAAATAGGGCGTAACAGTTAACGTAGTGGAGATACCCATCACAAGCCCTATCAATTAAACCGTTGATCTCACGTTAGGCAGGGCAATTAAACAAATGAAATAAATAGGAAAAAAAAAGGATCAAACAGTTCCCACATTGAATTTTTTGAAGGGCATAGAACGCGGAGTAAGGCGAAAAGAGACAAGGTGAACACGCATAAACATATTGACGCAGCTGGTATGGGCTTTGGAATCATTGTTTGCCCAATCTCCTGTTATACTGATGTTTTAAAACGGTCTCAATCTATTGTTTACTTTATTTAAAAAATAGAATAACAACAATTTAGCAGACTTGAAATGGAGCACTTTATGAAGTCATTACATTACACTATCTGCTTCCGAAAGCCTTATCTCAATCGGGAAATCCAGCTCAATTGTTTGTATTTCAAGTTTTGACATGACAAGTTTGCAGACTTGCAGTAGATTCAAGTTCACGAAGGTCAGCCAATTTGATACAAAGCTTTTACTATTTACCGGACGGCCACTAAGAAATTATAAGCTTGTAGAGCCCATTGAGCGAAAAACAAAAAAGCTATAAAAAATAGTTGTAGTAACTAAACATTTGTGAGCGATACGTTTCAAAACTTTGAACACCACGACCGACCTGAATTTTTTTCAAATAAAAATCAAGTTCTTTCCTTCAAGCGCCACACAATCAGTTTATTAAGCAAATAAAGCACAAAAGTAATCAACAAATAAAATGAAAGTTCCTTACAACACTATAGAAATCATTGGCGTGGAAACTAATCCAACAAAATAAAAGCAGAGAAACGAAAAGCCGTCATTTCAATTTTTCCAGGAAAAAATCCAATTTAATACTTACTGAAAAAAAAAAACAGACCAAATGGCAACGAGCCCAGATTTGCAAGACAAGTAGTTCCCGGGATAGAAGTCTGGGTCCTGATTAAAAGACACTTACTCTTGCAATTAGATAACTATATGACAACAATTGGAAAACAATCTGACTTCGAGCACATTAATATTTTCTCTATCAGTCGTTAACTTATTTCTACAAGTCATATCTCACCAATCTTGCAGTAGCGGTTGAACGTATATTGGCATTGTTTAGCTCAGGGTAGTTCGATCTAGCAGATTTACTCCGATTTTTGGCCATAATATCTCTTCCTGTAAAATATGAATAAATCAAGCACAAATGCCATGTCGAGAATCTATAATTGAAAAGCTTAAAACTCACGCTTTTGACTATACTTTAAAGATTTTGGTGGTCCATTGTCGATTCTTGCTAGAAAAAAGAATGATAAATTCGATCTTTTCCTTAAACAGTCCCACTCATTCCAGTACAACATCAACCTTCAAACTTCATCACCATTAATCATCTCAGAATAAAACTTCCTTCTACACTAATGGACAAAAATTGAGCGCAAATTAAATTTTTTTCCCTCTAAAATGCCTGTTTTCAAAAATTATTCACTGGAATTTTAAACAATACTTTTACATAAACCAAGAGCAAATGATCTGAGCTATCCTCTATGAAATTAACAAAATTTGGTTTTAAAGACTTACCGGTGTTTCCGGGTCTAAAAATGCCGGTTTCCACCATCTACACTAAGTTTTGCATCAGAGAGAACTCTTCTCGAATAAGCAGAAAAAAATTGTTCATGCAACGCAAAACATAACGATCGATAAAATTGGTTTGTTCAGTGTGACAGTTGATTAACTCAGCTGTTTCTTTCATTTTTATGCCTTTTGAAAAACTTAAGGCAGATGGTGAAAACTGGCATTTTCAGACCCGGAAATACTGGTAAGTCTTTGAAAACAAAAATCGTTAATTTCGTAGAGAGTACCTCATGTCAATTGCTCTTGGTCGAAGTAATAATTTTGTTAAGAATCTCAGTGGAGGTTGTCCAAAAAAAACAGATATTTTAGAGAAAAAAAAACATGGACGTTCGCTTAATTTTGTGCTTTAGTGTAACAAAATGCTTCAAGTCGAACGTGACTGTCAATGTACTAACACTTTGCAGTTGTTATTGCAGAAAAATAGTGTAGTTTCTTGTTATCTATTTCATATTTCCGCATATGATTTCTATCATCCATCCTAAACACTAAAACACAGGATAGATAACAATTAGGGGCCTCCGTAGCGAGCTGCGAGCTGATAATCAGAAGTTCAGAAGTATCATAGCAATCGCGGTCAATGTCAGGAGTCTCTTCATCACACATTCCAGTCAAAATCCTGGGCATTTTCTAGAAATCGAAACGATAACGAAATAAGTTAAATAGAACACCCGGAGAATTTAACATTCGCCCGGAAGTACAAATCGACGGAAAATAAAGCTAGCGTCTAAACCCAGCTTCATATGCTTTTAACCGTCTCTACCAACGCCAGTTCTATGTATGGTCAGTAAATGCATCATTTAAGTCAAAATTAAACTTAAACTGTGGATACAAACAAAAAAAGAATTAATTCCCTTATTAAAAATAAGGCAAAATTTTTATAAATAGATGAACAAATATATGTTAAAAACTAAGATCTACAGAAAGAGCAACGGCACTTCAAAAACCAAGTGCATGAGTTTTCACGATTGAAGAGTTTAGAGCGCTCTAGTAAGAAGTCTTTGAGAGTACTGCGAAAACGGCGCAAAGAGGTGAAAAAGTCGATCTCCGTTGTTTTCAGCATGTACTTCACGGCACGTGCTGTTCGGTGGGTGAAGAACGTCTCGGTTGACCATCTTCTTGCGGTTTTCACTGTCATCAACGCGCTGGATCTTAGTACCAATCATAAGCTATGCATCGCGAAAATGGTATCCGAACAAAACAGAGTTAACACAATTAGAAAGAGTACAAAAACGAGCTACTTCATGGATTACAAATAACTTCAAAATGAGTTATACTGAAATACTGAAATTTTTAAAGCTCCTTCCACTCTCAATGTACTTTGAATTACACGACTTAGTTTCACTACTAAAAAACAAACATGACATTGATTTGAATACAATCATTCATAAAAACGAATCGCGAATGAGACAAGCAACACGTGGTGAGATTGCTGTTGATGCAACAAGACTGATGAAATCAAATGAAAATTTTAATGTACCTTCTAATACGCTATACAACTATTTTAGCCAAATTGTGGTTTTCGAAAATCAAGATTATGACAGCCTGAAATTATCTCTAACAAATACGTATTGGAAATTCTTCCACAGAAATTTTGCAGAAAACAATTTGTGTATGCGGAAAATTCTTTGCTGGTTTGGAAACTGCAACCCACCGGGAAAAATTACGAACTTATAAACGAGTGTTCAAAACCCATGGAGAAATCCTAAAGCCTACCCTACTGTGCCAGTCGGTCATATTTGGAAGTTTGACCTTGAGGAACACGAACTACAAATTTTGGGAAGAATTTTAATTTTTCAAAAATTCAAATTGAGCCTGCCATGCTCAAGTTTCTCGCAAAAACTAAGAATCTCAGAAATAAAAGATCAGAACGACCGATTTACAATCGCGGGAAAGTACTTGAAAAAGCTGCGGGAAATTACTATTCGCAATTTCCAGATACAAAATAAACGCGAGTAGAGCCGTCTTATCCGGAAATAGGAGAAGAAACGATTGCGAAAGGAGAACGTATTTATTCGAGGTGAACCAGAGTGAACCCTCAGTGGAAAGGTGGACAGCTGGGGTGTCCCAAAGGTTCAGACAAAACTTCAATTCTTGAGTCAAAACTTCTTTCCCTTGTTGAAATTATTTAGTAACGAACTTCTCAAATTATCCTACTTAATTCTCGAGTTGCTTACCGATTTAGTTACTCCAATTCTTGAGTGTGCTGGTATGTGAAAACCCGAATTTATTTTTCTTGAGTGTGTTTTATGATTGTTATGTTGAGATAAGGAGAGTTTTGGGTTGGTCCATCTGAAACGGATCAAAGTTCCACTGACTAATAAAAAGTAACTATGCGGATTGTTCCGACCCTGTTTTTAACGGCGTTCGTGTATTTTGGGTATTTTGAGACCTAAATATGGGGACGTTTAAGCAGTAATGGGTTTTTAGTCTCATGTCGCAAGCGAACCGAATTGGCTCCGACCGTTTTGAGGTAGAAAAACACGAGAGATAGTGTCCCTGACTCTTGAGCCAATGGTTATAGGGCCTATTCTTCTTAAGCCTCATATGTGACCGAAGTAGGCGACTGTTACATAGTGTTTTAATGGCGCTCCTGGGTGTTTTTACGACATCATGACTACGGAGTCGAACCCACTTGACGCAGCTCCGGGATTCATGCCCATTCTAGAGTACCGGTGGTACGGTTCAGCGGGAACGTGTAAACCTTCCGGTTGTACCATGATAGCTTTTTAAGAAAACTCGAGAAAACTTCCTGGTACGCTCTCCAAACGAGGCTTAGCTAACCGAGTAAGGGGGGTAACTAGGGGGGATGAAAAAACGAGCAAAAGACAAAAAGTGAAACAAAAACCGAAAAAGAACAGAAAAAGGAACAAAAACTAGAAAACAAAAAAAAATGACAGTGAATTTGACACCAAATTAGTTGGATCAAAACTATATATTAATTAAATAGTATATCCATACTGTTTTTTGTAAGACTGATCGAATCGATCGTTTCAGCAATCTGAAAAGGTGCCCGAGTGTGGGGCGTTCTGAAGGGTTTTCAGATAGCTTGCAACTTAGCTGGACCATTAGGAGACGTGACTGGAACAGGTGACCAGTCGAGTGGGAAAGTGGTTCACAGGGACTTAGCTGAACCATTAGGAGACTTGACTGGAACAGGTGACCAGTCGAGTGGGAAAGTGGTTCACAGGGACTTAGCTGGACCATTAGGAGACTTGACTGGAAAAGGTGACCAGCCAAGTGGGAAAGTGGTGCTGGTGATCAGGTGCAGGGCAAGTCAAGGAAACAATCAGCACGGAATCAGAGCAACAAGAGAGGACGGGGGTGTTCTCAAGTTGGTCAAACGGGTATCGTTAAAATCCACATTACATTATAAGAGATAATTGTAAAATTGGATAAGTGGAACCCCACTGTTTTGAGGAACGTTTTTAATCAAGCAGGCCTGGAAACAGGTTCTACGGTTTTCTCTCGAGAGGTTTAGCACCCGGCGCTTAAGGTAATTTTTGGTTTAAGAGGGGGTCTAAAGAGGGGGGAGGTTAGAAGGGGGGCTGGTTAGGTTAGAGGTTGGTGGTTGTAAAGTGTAAAAAGGGGGCACACATTAGAGTAACTAATTGATCGGCATCGTCGATTTAGTTACATTAGGTTCTTACTACACGCGTTGATTATAAGAAGCGGATATCCAAATTTAACATCGAATTAAGGTAGGTACCCTGGTCGGATCGGGAGGGGGGAACGGACATAGACAGTTTTTGTGATACCCCATAAGATCGCTAGCAGGGGAGAAGAGAACGCGTGGCAATCAGGTACCAAACACTTTTTTTGTTGTTGTTCAGATAAAGGGTTGACACAAGTCACCTTTGAATTTTAGGTGGGTATATATTTTTTTGCTTTTATCGATAATTATTATTATTTTTTTCTCTGTTCAAATTTTGACGCTTTTGGTGAAGAAGTTTTAATCGGTTTTGAACAAACAGGTGATCACAAGTCACCTAGAACAAATTGGGTTTCAACTTGCATCAAAATATTAAAAGAAACAAAAACAAGGGGGTTAGTAATTCTAACTTTTGGCCAGTAAGTTTGGGTTTTTTGGGAAAATTTTAACTAGATCTCAAGTGGTGGTACAAGGTACAGTGGCTCAAGGCAGTCTTGGCAGTCTCGGGACAGGCAGTCTTGGGACAAGCAGTCTTGGGATAGGCAGTCTTGGGACAGGCAGTCTTGGGACAGGCAGTCTTGGGACAGGCAGTCTTGGGACAGGCGGTCTTGGGACAGGTAGTCTTGGGGCAGGCAATCTTGGGACAGGCAGTCTTGGAACAGGCGGTCTTGGGTCAGGCAGTCTTGGGACAGGCAGCTTTGGGACAGGCAGTCTTGGGACAGGCAGTCTTGAGGCAGGCAGTCTTGGGACAGGCAGTTTTAGGACAGGCAGTCTTGGGACAGGCAGTCTTGGGACAAGCAGTCTTGGGACAGGCAGTCTTGGGACAGGCAGTCTTGGGACAGGCAGTCTTGGGACGGGCAGTCTTGGGACAAACAGTCTTGGGACAGGCAGTCTTGGGACAGGCGGTCTTGGGACAAGCAGTCTTGGGACAGGCAGTCATGGGACAGGCAGTCTTGGGACAGGTAGTCTTGGGACAGGCAGTCTTGGGACAGGCAGTCTTGGGACAGGCAGTCTTGGGACAGGGCAGTGTTGGGACAGTACCAGAAAGTCTTGGGACAGTACCAGAAAGTCTTGGGACAGTACCAGAAAGTCTTGGGACAGTACCAGAAAGTCTTGGGACAGTACCAGAAAGTCTTGGGACAGTACCAGAAAATCATGGGACAGTACGAGAAAGTCTTGGGACAGTACCAGAAAGTCTTGGGACAGTACCACCAGAAAGTCTTGGGACAGTACCTAGAAGCCTTGGGACAGTACCTAGAAGTCTTGGGACAGTACCTAGAAGTCTTGGGACAGCACCAGGGAAGTCTTGGGACAGTAAATAGAAGTGTTGGGACAGTACCGGGAGGTCTTGGGACGGTACAAAAAAGTGTTGTGACGGTACTAAAGGGTCTTAAGACAGGTCGAAATAACTAAAACAAGAGCAATAGGACCGGTCGGAAAATTAAATCGCGATAGATCCGATTTTGTTGGGATCACGAATTAGTAAAATTTTCATAAATGTTAAACGGGAATAGGAACGTTTGTTTTATAATTATTATATTTACTATCAGAAATTTTATCCTTAGAATAGAATTTTGTAAATAGTAATATTGTAAATAGAAGTACTTGTAAAAAAATCATGAAACGGAGCAGGGTACCGATAGCTGAAAAAAGAGCTACGGAGTCAAAGACAAAATATAACTCGTCGCAACGAAAAGTGACAACGGTTGGCCCAAAAATAACAAGGAAGAACTTTTCAGTGAGCATGGTCAACACAAGAAGTTCAAAAGAGAACAAGACAAAAGAGGGCGCGGAGGGGAAACAAACGGAACCCGCCATTGAGATTGACCAAACAACAGA